GAAAGGGTTTATTGAGCCATATGCTAGGCAAAAAAGGACTAGGACCTGGATGGAGAATATAGACACTCCCACCATCCAGGGTTGTTGGAACTCTTTTATACAGTGAGTTTGGAGAAGAAATATGTAAGTTGTTTTAAAAGAATTTACATTGGCTATAGATAAAGGAGTCAGGGGGAGGTAAAGTCGAGAAAGTTCTAGGATAGGTGCACAGTCTATAAGGAAGACATACTTTCTGCTTTTGGATTGGTTGTGGGCAACAGTCTGGAAAGTTCATGTGTAATCAAGATGTGGTGGCATCTGGTTGTCAGCTCTTCAGCTATTCTCTCTAGATAATAATGGAAAATAGTCACCTGAAGGTTGATTCAAAGTTTTAACATACATTCAGGAATGAGAGCAGTTTTTTGTTGGTTCTATTAACAGATTAACCTCTCTTGTCTCCTTCCACTTTTTGGTCTGCTATAATTTATGACATCCCAGAATTTTTCCTTGTCATGAGTTTACTGGAAATGGAATATGATTAATTTGGGGTTATTTTTCAAATCTGTTGTTTGATATGTCTATATGCATCTGATTTCAAGATTGCTTATAAAAGATACCCTCTATACTGGTTTTGGGAATAGACAGGCAAGATGAGAAAGGCCAAAGTGCTGTTTGGAATTGTTAATGGTGAATGTGGAGTTAGACCCCAGTCCATGAGTTCGAGTAAGAAGGAATTCAAAGCCAAGAACTCTAATGCAAGAAGTTTATTTAGAAAGTCACAGAGGTGGAAGAAGTGAGCCAGGATGGACAGAGTGGACATGAAACAAGTTATAGAGGAAAAAGAAGGGCCCTTGGAGCTTAGGAAAAAGAAAGCAAAGATAACATGCTCAAGGGAAGAAGAGGAGGAAAGATGTAGGCATGCTCCAGAGAGAGAGAGAGAGAGCACGTGAGGAAAGAAGGAAATGGGGAAAGGCATGGGCATGAGAGAGAGAGAGAGAAAGAGAGAGAGAAAAAGAGAGAGAAAGGGAGAGAGAGAGAGAGAGAGAGAGAGAAAACAGGGTCCTTTGTCTTAAGGGTTTTTATCTCTTTTGCAAAGGCAGGTATTTTAGGGAAGGTTCCAGGGGAGAATCTCAATAGAATATTCATCAGCGTTTCTAGGTGTGTTCTTTCAAGGCTGTGGTTTCTATTGGTTGGCTGGCAGTGTGTGGGGGGGTCATTAGTTATTGCATCTGGTCCTGATGTCAGCCATGGTGTAGCTTTATCTGGTTTTGGTGCTTTTCTGGACCTGGAGCTAAAACACAACTGAAGCCTAAATGTCACCTCTAGTTTGATCAAAATTCTGTCTTTGTGGTCAATAGACCCATGGCTTTGTTCCTCAGGTCATTTGATATGGGTCAGAACCTCATTGTCTTGGGGGACTTAATCCTTAAGGAAGTGGTCATGCAAAGGCTTGTATGGAACCATATAAGGCTATTTTCCGGCACCTTATTTCTCCTCTCAGGGGATCTAAACCACATAACTAGCAATATGAAAGATCAGAGGCATCTAAACTGCATGGCTAGCTACATGCTAGGGGAGGAAAGGTCACCCTGGGATGAGGTCCTAGACTATAATAGCTGTTTTCTCAGTTTTGCCTATTGCTAGGTACCCCAGACTTTCTGCCCTTTTGGCATTCTATTCCTGGCCTGTCATTCCTGCTCTGTTCATGCCTTTCTAACTGCCTACCCTATTAGAATGGCATGGCCACATGAAAGTAACTGTTGGAAAACTCAGAGTCAAGAATAGATTAGCTACCTCAAAGGAAGTTAGATCCATGATTGAATTGAGGATAACATGACACCCTACTGCACTGGAACTTTAGGCTTCTCCCTTTAGTAGGTTTCTGGGTTTCTGGTGTAGTACTGTCATGGATGAGAACCAGCCAAATGGAGCAATTATAGGGAAATATGCCCCCCAAGAATCTGTTCCTTTCTTCTTGGCTATGGGTATAGAAAATTAAGAGTTAACTCTGAGGCTCAGTGTGTACTTTTGCTTCTCTGTTTAGCATGTTGGAAGTATCATGGGTATTTCAGAAGCTCAGGAAGGCTGCTGGCATGGCTCTTAGGTGATTCCAGAGGTACTGAGGACCTTTCCAAGGTGGTTGGGGGCCCCCTCTCTGCTCTCTGTATACTGTAGTTTCTGAGTATAGCCTGTGATGGGCCAGATGCTGTAACTATGTGCAGCCTGCAGCTTGGTCCCTTGCCTAAGGTGAGTAACTTTACTGCTGGGTCAGTGGTAAAGAACACCAACTTTGTTTTTTTTCTTTCTTGGACTGTTCCTGAGGGTTAGGGTGGAGAGCTGGGATAAGTTCATGTTTGGATGATTGAAATTCCAAGTCAACAATCCTTATCACAAATCATTAAGGTTATATGTATTTCAGAAATCAAAAATTTTGAGTTTTAGAAAGGCAATACAGTGCATGTGGAGTATTTTATACATACTGCCAGTAGGGTCTGGGGCAGCACTCGATAATCAAAATACATTATTTTTATGGAAAATATATGAATATTCACCATAAGTGTAGTAAACAGAGTCTGTTAATTGCCTTAGCTCAGTTCAGGTCATGTTTTACTACCAAATTATCTTTGAAAAAAATGGACTTTGAGAGCTTTTTAGATTTGGTGATTTTGGATAAAGGATTGTGGACCTGTAATTGTCATTGGTTTTACACTTTTAATCAACTTAACCCACAGGGGGAAAGGCACATTCTCAATGGATATTTCCTTGGAGAGGTTCTCTAATGAGGTATTGTGCAGGTAATGGACTCCTGCCTGTGTTCCTCTCAAGATCTCTTTTCTTTCCTATTCATCTTTCTCTTCCTCTTGACAGAGATTCAAGTGGTTGTCTTTCTTACAGTGTTTTTCCTTATAGTATTCTTTACTTCTAATGTAGACTCTGAGACAACTGAAGAACCAAATGCTAAAGAATATACACATGACAAAGCCAAAAAGTCTATAATGCAGATAATCTATATTAATAAATGCTCACAAGATAGGACACATATTGATGATTTTATAAACTGCACTATTAAATCACTGTAGGTGAAAGAACTCCACAAATATGGGTTTCATTTTTTTTTTATCAGTTCTTAATCCTGCTGAATGTCTCTGACTTCAGGCCAAGGTCAAATATTTAGCATATCTGGCTGCCAGGAGTGGTTGATTGTCTTGGGGATTTTGTTAAATGTGCAGATTCCCGAAGTCCCAGACTTCGGGAATCAGCATTTTTTTTTTTTTTTTTTTTTTTTTTCAATCTCACCCGATGATATTATTTCCATTGCTTTTTAGAGAGAGTGGAAGGGAGGGAGGGAAGGAGGGAGGATGAGCGCGGGGGCGGGGGAATCAATGTGAGAGAGAAACATCAACTGGTTGCCTCCCGTTTATATCCTGACCCAGGCTGAGGATCGAACCTGCAACCCAGGTACATGCCCTTGACCAGGAACCAAACCTGCTTCCCTTCAGTATGCAGACCAACGCTCTAACCACTGAGCTACTGGCCAGGATGTGAATATTAGCATTCTTAACGGATGAGCCCAGCAATTCACATGTTTAATAAGCGATATGCAGGGTTTCTTTGTCCATTTAAAGAACCAGTGCTTGGGTGAAGGTCAAACTTTGAAGGCTGTAATCCAGGCCTAGGTCAAATGAAGTAGCATGGGACTGATTTGTCTCTTAGGACAAGGTTCTTTTTGTTTAGTTTGGCCTGGATGGAAAATAGAAGAATAAAACTACTTAGTCATGCTTAGAAACAAACCGATCCAATGTGAGGGAGGAAAAATAATTTTCCTTCTACCCTTCTAGGTTTTTGGCTGAGATGCCCTTGTTATATAAGACACATTAACAGGAGAAGAACAAATAGATGTTGAATAAAATGTATACCTGGTGTACATGGGAAAGACCCAGGAAAACTGAGTAACTCCCTGAACTAGTCCAAGATATCACCTTAAATGCCATCTCCAGCTAAATATAAAAGATGTTGGGAGGGGAAGTGAGTTATGGGAGAAGACCAAAACAGCACAATAAAGAAGAATAAGGTTGTCATGCAGATTTAGTCCTTGCCTTCTACATGGAAGAGTTTCTAGATATTTAGTCATCCTTCTCTTCCTGGTACAGAGAGGGAGACACACTTACAAATAGAGATTTCCCTGATAAAAGTAAATGTTTCTTACAAAAGGGTAATAACTTCTACTCAGTTTCCAGAGCTTTTTCTGTGTCTGCTGTTTCTTAAAATAATCAATCTAGAATAATCCTCATGCCAAAGAGAGATTTTGGGAAGGCAAATTCTGTTTCCTTTGAAAATCAAAGGGAGGTATAGAGCCTAGGGCAGGCAATATTGATAGGGTTGCCAGATAAAATACAGAATGCCCAGTTAAGTGTGAATTTATAATAAACATTGAATAATGTTCTAATATAAGTTCAACCTAAATATTGCATGGAATATACCTATACTAAAACTTTATTTATTGTTTATGTGAAATTCACATTTAATTGGGCAGCCTATATTTTTATTTACTAAATCTGAATGCTGGGTATTGATTAACCTAACTTCCCTTATGGGAGGCAAACCATATGGCATTTGTACTTGTCTTGCATTGAAAGCTTCTCAGACAAGCTACTGGTGTTGTATTGAAGTTGAAGTGTTGAAAAGTTGAGTCTTGTTCTAGAGGTTAAGAGGAAGTGTTCCAGAGGCTAAAAGAACCTAAGCTTTCTCCATCTCCTAACCCCCAAACTTTTGTTCCCTCACTCTCCATCTCTGACCCTCTCCCTCCCCCCCGACATAAACACATGTAGATGCATGTACAAACATGTTTGTAAAACCACCTGTTTGCCTTTTTAAATTTTTATATTACATTTTCTGTGTTAAAGTTTGGTTATTATTATTATTATTAATATTAAAGTAACATTGTCTTACTGCATCTAGCATTTATTTTAATAATCACACTTTTTTTTAAGTAATCATACTTAATTCTTTTTCCATTGCAGATTTTTCTCCTCGCCTGCCCTCCATGTCCAGGAGCTATCGTGGTCTTCAAGTAAGGGAAAATTGTTTTTTGCTCTGTTGCCACTGCTATTCAGACTGTTTTGTCTGTTTGATAACCTAGGATGATGAGCTCATTGCTGTGAATACCTTGGACCTGCACCATTTTGTCTCTGAGCATCCCAAGGGACAAAAGTCTGTGAGGGCACAGTGAAACAGGCAAATGTTGTATGTGGAGATTTCGCTTTTGTCAAGTCCTGACAAATCCTTTTCAGCTATTTCTTGTGGTGGTGGTTTATGGCCAAGGCATGCTCCCTTGGAAGTTTGCCGCCTTCCTAAACTTTCTCTTGAGAGCAAACTGGCGCCCAGACATCTTCCCTTGTTTCAAGAATCTTTTCATTGTGGTCCTGCTGCTCCACTGAGGATATGTCTTCACTTTTAAGGCCTTTGTTTTTGTGTTTTTATATTTTTTCCCCTTAAAATTAAAATGAGAAGAAAAAAAATATTACCTTATTACAAGTTCTAGCTCTCTTAAAAATAGCAAGTATTAAATCTGTTAAAGTCTATTTCAGGCAAATCGTGTTTATCAGAAGGCAAATTTACTTAAGTAAAATTCTCAAGAGTCCCGGAACCCTCATTGTAACCGTGAGTTGTGACCATCTCATTTATCAAGCCTTTTATTAGAATTGCTAATGAGAAGCTAAATTGACGAAATTAATTTCATCTCTTTTCTGCTTCCTGGCCCCCATTTTGGAGCTGTTCCTGAGCACTGAAATGACCACAGGCCAGAGGGAAGGGACAGGAAGTAAAGAGCCCTGAAGATCCTTGGATAATTGAGAGTGGTGTAAATGGCTTTCTGATTTACTTAAGTCATTAAAGTGTTAGGTAGGGGGAAATATACCCTGTTATACCCTATTTGCTGCTTCAAATAGCTTCTTGGAATAGACACTTAGTCTCTTGGCTTTGGTGAGTAACTTTCTGCTTGATGAGGGGTAATGTATCCTGATTTCATATATCTCCTACTTGGACAACTCCTAAGCAAAAGGGGTATTTAACCCTGTTTCCTCCTTTGATTTCTGAAAATCAGCTCCATTTTTTAGTGTAATGTTTTCAAAGTAACATATATTAGTTTTATTTCCTTATTATGAAAGTAACAATTCTTATTATAGAAAATGCAGAGATACATAAAGAAAATAAACATCATCCTTAATTCTATCATCAAGAGATAATATTGGTTATTTTCTTTCTTTTCTTAATAAACAGAGATCCTCTTTAGAACTTTTACTGTAACTTTTCTAAACTTAATTCATTTTATATATATGTTTTATATGTAAAATACATAAATATAATTGCTGGATTTATTTTTTTATAGTGGTTGTTGTTTTTTCCTTTTCCTTGTTTTGTTTGGCTCCTCTAGCTTTCCATCCCACCCTTGTATATTACCAAACAAGTATGTCCTTCTATATTTTTTCCATGCTTATATGTGTATACACACACACAAACACATACAAACACACACATGAGTTTTTGCTGTTCATTATTTTACAAAAATAGAATTTTATACATAATTTAATACATCTTGCTTTTTTCACTCAATAGTATCTCATGAAAATCTAACCAAGTCTTTTGGTATAGCTCTTATTCTTTTAAAACAAGGGTGCAGCCCAGTGGTTGAGCGTTGACCTAGGATCCAGGTGACCGGGGTTCGATTCCCGGTCAGGGCACATGCCCTGGTTGTGGGCTCGGTCCCCAGTCAGGGTCGTGCAGGGGGCAGCCGATCAATGACTCTCTCATCATTGATGTTTCTCTCTCTCTCCCTCTCCTTTCCTCTCTCTGAAATCAATAAAGATATATGTTTTAAAAATAAAATAATAAATAAATAAATAAATAAATAATAAATATAAAACAAGGGTGCAGAAAATTTTATAGAGGCACAACAATTTTTTAGCCATTTTCCTACTAATGAACATTTACATTCATTCTTTCCAGATTTCTGCCACTATAATCAGTACTGAAATAAACATCATTATGCATATGAACTTATATATTACTGGTACTACACACACACAAACAAACACATGCATATATCAATGTTTATATATAAACGTATATGTATTTGTTAATTTAATATATTATTTATATTGATTATACATATAAAAGGCTGTTATAATTTACTTTTACCTCTTGTATGTAATATATGAAATTATCCCTTTCTTCATATCCTTACTAGCATAAGGTGTAATGGTTCTTTTATAATTTTCATAACTTAGTGTATGAATTTCCTTGACTACTAATGCATTTTATTATTATGTTGTTTTTTCCTCCCCAATTAAATTTCCCTTTTGAATTATCTGTTCATATTATCTGCCCATTTTCATGAGTTATTTATATTTTTCTTAATTTGTAAGACCCCTTTGAATATCTTTTATATTGGCCCTTTGTCTATCATTGTTAAAGAAAACCTCTCCAAAATCTGTATGTATTGGGTTTGCTGATAGTATATTTTTTCCACATAACTTTTTAACTTTTTCATATACAAATATGAATCTTTTATTAAGTANATGCATATAAATTCTTTGGTTACTCTCTCCCCCTCCACCCACCTGCCCTCCTCCATCCCTCTGACATTCATCAGTCTCATCTATGCTTCCATGTCACTGAATCTATTCTGTTCATCAGTTTATTAAGTTCTTTAGATTCCACGTATAAGTGAGATCATGTGATGTTTTTCTTTCTCTGCCTGGCTTATTTCACTTAGCATAATATTCTCCAGGTCCATCCATGCTGTCCCAAAGGGTACGAGATTCTTCTTCTTTACAGCTGCGTAGTATTCCATGGTGTAAATGTTCCACAGCTTTTTAAGACCATTTTCTTAAAGGTAGATAACCAGTTGTAGTAGCATAATATATTAAATAATCCATACTTTTCCCTGTGAACCAAACTACCATCTTTGTCATCTCTTAAACTTTTTAAAAGTTAAATTTCTTGGAGGTGCAGGGTGGAAGGGTCAATGGGGAAAAACGGGAACATCTGTAATACTTTAAACAACAAAAATAAAAATAAAAATAAAATAAAAGAATCTTTTTTAAAAAAATTAAATTTATTGGGGTAACATTAGTTAATAAAATTATATAGGTTTCAGGTATAAAATTCTATAATGTATCATCTGTATATTGTATTGTGTGTTCACCATCCAAAGTCAAGTCTTTTTCCATCACCATTTATCCCTCCTTTACCCTCTTTTACCTACTCCCACCCACATTTTCCTATGGTAATTACCATACTGTTATCTGTCTGTGAGTTTATTTATTTATTTTTAAATTTTTACTTAATCCCTTCACCTTTTTCACTCAGCACCCACCCCCCTTCCCTCTGATAGCTGTCAGTCTGTTGTCTGTATCTATGTGTCTGTTTCTACTACTTTTTGTTTGTTAGTTTATTTTGTTCCACGTAGGAGTGACATCATGGTATTTGTCTTTCTCTGACTGGCTTATTTCACTTAGCATAATATTCTTCAGGTCCATCCATGCTGTTGCGAAAGGTAAGTTTTCCTTATTTTTTATGGCCAAGTAGTATTCCATTGTGTAAATGTATCACAGCTTTTTTATCCACTCATCTACTAATGGGCACTTGGGCTACTTCCAAGTCTTGGCTATTATAAGTAGTGCTGCCATGAATATAGAGGTGCATATATTGTTTTGAATTAGTGTTTTGGGTTTCTTTGGATATATTCCCAGAGTATCATCCCTGGGTCATAAGGCTGTCCTATTTTATTTTTTGAAATAATTGCACACTGCTTTCCACAGTGGTTGCACCAATCTGCATTCCCTCCAACAGTACACGAGGATTCCCTTTTCTCTACATCCTCCCCAACACTTGTTGTTTGTTAATTTATTGATGGTAGCCATTCTGACAGGTGTGAGGTGATATCTCATTGTGGTTTTAATTTGCATTTCTCTGATGGTTAGTGACATTGAGCATCTTTTCATATTTCTCTTGGCCATCTTTGGAGAAATGTCTATTCAGGTCCTTTGTACATTTTTAAATTCAATTGTTTGTTTTATTGGTGTTAACTTGTATAAGTTCTTTATAAATTTTGGATATTAACCCCTTATCTGATGTATCATTGGCAAACATGTTCTCCCAGTCAGTGGGTTGTCTTTTCATTTTGTTGATGGCTTCCTTTGCTGTGGAAAAACTGTTTAGTGTGATGTAGTCCCATTTGTTTATTTTTTCTTTTGTTTCTGTTGCCCAAGGAAATATATCAGAAAAAAATATTGCTACAAGAAATGTCTGAGATTTTACTGCCTATGTTTTCTTTTAGGAATTTTATGGTTTCAAATCTAACATGAAAGTCTTTTATCCATTTTAAGTTTATTCTTGTGTATGGTGTAAGAAGGTGGTTTAGTTTCATTTTCAGCACTTATTTGTCCAATTTTATCAACACCATTTACTGAATAGACTATCTTTATTCCATTGTAAGTTATTACCTCCTTTGTCAAATATTAATTGACCATAAAGGTGTGGGTTTCTTTCTGGACTCTCTATTATGTTCCATTGACCTATATATATCTGTTTTGATGCCAATGCCATGCTGTTTTGATTACTATGGCCTTGTAGTATAGTTTCATATCAGGTAGCATGATTCCTCCAATTTTGTTCTTCTTTCTCAAGATTGCTGCAGCTACTTGGGGTCTTTTGTGGTTCCATATAAATTTTTGGAACATTTGTTCTAGTTCTGTGAAATATGTCATTAGTATCTTGATAGGAATTGTATTGAATCTATAGATTGCTTTGCTTAATATGGACATTTTAATGATGTTAATTATTCCTATCCATGAGCACGGTTTGTGCTTCCACTTATTTGTATTTTCTTCATTTTTTTTTCTTCAATGTCTTATAATTTTCCTAGTACCAGTCTTTTATATCCTTGGTTAAATTCAATCCTATGTATTTTTTAATGCAATTGTAAATGGGATCGTTTTCTTAGTTTCCATTTCTGATACTTCATTATTGATGTCTAAAATGTGACTGATTTCTGGGTATTTATTTTGT